AGGGAAGGAAGGAAGGAAGGAAGGAAGGAAGGAAGGAAGGAAGGAAGGAAAATTTAGAAAAAGAAGAAATGAAGAAAAAAAGAGAAAAGAGGAAATTTAGGGAAGGAAGGAAGGAAGGAAGGAAGGAAGGAAGGAAGGAAGGAAGGAAAGAAGGAAGGAAAATAAATTTAGAGAAAGAAGAAATGAAGAAAAGGGGAAGTGTAGAGAAAGATGGAAGGAAAAGAAATTTAGAGAAGGAAGGAAGAGAAAACCATTTAGAGAAAGAAAGAAGAAATGAAGGAAAGAAAAAAAGAGAAAAGGGGAAATTTAGAGAAAGAAGGAAGAAATGAAGGAAAGGAAGAGAGAAAAGGGGAAATTTAGAGAAAGAAGGAAGGAAAAGAAATTTAGAGAAGGAAGGAAGGAAGGAAGAGAAAAACATTTAGAGAAAGAAAGAAGAAATGAAGGAAAGGAAAAGAGAGAAAAGGGGACCTTTAGAGAAAGAAAGAAGGAAGGAAAATAAATTTAGAGAAGGAAGGTAGGAAGGAAGGAAGAGAAAGAAATTTAGAGAAAGAAGAAATGAAGGAAAGAAAAAGAGAGAAAAGGGGAAATTTACAGAAAGAAGGAAGGAAAATAAATTTAGAGAAAGAAAGAAGAAATGAAGGAAAGAAAAAGAGAGAAAAGGAGAAATTTAGAGAAAGAAGGAAGCGGAGGGAGGACGGGGCCGAGGCAACCCAGAGAAGCCAGCCGGGGGAGAAAGAGCCACAAACGGGCCGAGAAGAGCCTCGCCGGCGGCCCCACCGGCCAGTTCTTCCCAGAAACCCTCCCGCCTTCCTCGGCCACGGGAGGGGAGAGGCTCGTCGGGCTGCCTTCCACCCGAGGCCGAGGCCCGGCCAGGCTGGCGGTTGTTCCCCACCGGCGAGGCCGAGGGAGCCGGAGGCGATTCCGCCGCCGGACGCGTCTCGGGCACTTACAACAAGAAGCTCATGATGGCGGCGGCGGAGCAAGAGCGGCTGCCTCAGCGCGGCTCCCAATGGCAGGCGGCCGCGGCGGGCGAAAGAGGAGGAGGAGGAGGAGGAGGAAGAGGAGGCGGAGGAGGGAAGGCGGGCGGGCCTCCGCCGTCCGGAGCCGCCTCTGCTGGCCGCGCCTCCCCTGGCAGGGCTGGGGCCCGCCAGCTCCCGCCCTAACCAGGCAGGCAAGGGTGGGCACGATGGGAGTTGTAGTCCGAGGCGCCTGGAGGACTGTTTGCCTGCCTTGCGGCCGATGGAAGATCCCCCTCCCCTTTTTTTAGTTTCTCTGCGCCTCCATCGCCTCTCAGGCCTTCCTGGCTGCAGGTGCTATTCAACAGGTGTCTGCCTGCCAGCCATCTCTCTCTCTCTCTCTCTCCTATCCTTATCTATCTACTTATCTATTTACATCTGTCTATCATCTATCATACCTCCCTCTCTCTCATTATCGACCATCTACCTATTTACCTCTGTCTGTTTATCTATCTATCTATCTATCTATCTATCTATCTATCTATCTATCTATCTATCTATCTATC